GCGTTTCCGAACTACAGAGGATGCCAAAATATATATATATAAATATGTGTGTGTATATAATAACCACAGCGATGTGTGTTTGCGCGTGCGCGTGCGTGTCAGAGAGAGAGAGAGAGAGAGAGGGAGAGCTGCCACAACGCACTTTTACCGCCGTCTGCGGTGCGTCCGTATTTTCTTTGCTCTCTAAGGGGAGGGTGACGATTCGTCTTTATCCTTGCTTTTTTTTATTGTTTTTTTTTGTGGCTTAGCGAGAGCCTTAGGGGTTGGTTGTGCTGGCGTGCGGGACTGGGGTCTCTGCTGGCGCGCTGACAGGACGTCGGGGCAACCGTGTCGCTTCCGTGCGTCCTTCTAACCGTCTCCGTGTTTTCGGTGTTGTTGTCATTACACTATTTTTACGTGCCCCGTGTGCGCGTGTGGCGTTCCTCCTTTGATTCCTCGCGGCGTTGGCTGCCTCCCTGACGGATGCCGCGGAAGGCGACTGAGGCAGTCGTTGAGGCGGACCCCCCGCGGCGTCCTCCGCCGCGCGAGGAGCAGGACGTGCGACGGCCCCTGCAACAAGGTGCGCACGTGGACACAACGCTCCCCAGCAGCGCGTACGAGACGCGTATTGTGGACCAGCTGCAGCTGCTGCTCAACACCAGCCAGGTGGATCAGCAGGAGTCTGTGAAAATGGGGCGTATCGCCGCCGGGGCCCTCTTCTTCCATCAGGGCATCCCAGTCGGACTCACATTTGGCATTCTTCTTATCTCCTGCGTGTTATACCCGTCAGTGCAGACCATCGCGTGCACTGTGTTGTTTTTCGTCCTTTACGCATTCTGCATGGGCGTGCAGATTTACTTGCTATGGGCACGCATCACCGAGAAGAAAATGCATACGGCCTGTGTTATGCGTGATGTGCTTGAGCGCTGGCGACAACGCATAGCGGGGATGATGAAACTGCCACGCCAGAGCCCACATGAACGGCGGGCCGCGTTTCTGGAGTCCACCGGCATGTTGCCAGCAAAGGCGTTTCGTATGGTGGCCGTCATCGACGTGACCACAGGGCGATTGAAGCACATCCTCAAGTGTCTCCTGATGCGGGGCACAAGACGCCTGGACGAGTCAAAGCTCTGCGCATGGCCGTACACGGAGCCGGTTGGCCCGTGCAAACTTGTTGACGCCATGGAAATGACACTGAAGTCCGATCCTATTGTGCTGCGTCCGCTGCAAGACAAGCGTCGCCCGCCACGGCGCCCAGCCTCACAGCCTCTAGGCAGCATAGGGGAGGGGGAGGAGGAGGAGGCCAACACGACGGATGACAGCGATCACGAGCGCGACCCACGCAAGGAGACGATCGGCACCAACACGAACTCTGTCTCACAAAAGATGGAGTTTCTGGTGCACCGTGTCTTTCTGCTTGTGTGGGTGCTTGGCATGCTGCTGACGACTGCCGCTGGGCTCATCTTCTGCGCCTGCGTTGGCGTCCCTGTTGGCGAGAACGTCTTTTTGTACCCCTCCGTTGCGCTGCTTGGGCTGCTTCCGGTAAACGCCATTCTGCTGAGCCGTGCGCTTATGCTGTACGCCAATGTGTACCTGGAGCGACTCTTCAGTCACCTGGTGGCGAGACCCATGTACGCCCTCGACGACCGTGTGCCGCGGTTTTCCTTTCTCTCCATTTGGAAGTCGCTGTGGCAGGTCGTGCGTCAGCGCCCAGGCCGTCATCTGCTCTGCTTCTCCTCCTCCATTGTGGAGGTGCTGGGGACGGCCTCAGTTGTGGCGTTGCTGGACACGACCGGCGTGGTGACGGACATGGTGCCGCTTCCCGCAGTCATGCTGATGTGCAAGCGTGACGAGCAGCTGGACGCCGCCTCGAGCTCGGAGGACGAGGGGGGCAACGTCGGCAGCGGCGCGACAAGTCACCCGCACGACGATAAAGCGGCGGCGCCCGCGCGTTCCGCGTCACATAGGCAAAGGCGTGAGAGGAGGCCATGCGCGGGACGTAAAAAAGCGCAGAATAGGCTCTTTTTTGAGCTGCAGTTGATCCCTAGCCAGCGGGAGGACCTTGCTGTGCAGTTTGCCGACGAGCAGGAGCAGGAGGCGCGGGAGCGGAACGTGTCCCCTGTCGCCCACTGCTTGCTGCTGCACGCCCTTCTACCGGAGCCAGAAAACCTGGAGACCTGGACAGAGCGGTTTCGCTTTTGCGACCGAACCGTTCGCTGGGCGCGCAGCACCCATTGGATTGCGCGCGCCCACGACTTCGTGGACGACGTTGCCGACTCCTTCCGCGTACTCGCGCGCGTCTTTCAAATCAACACGAAGGCGCGAACCGGCACCCGCAACGACTATCCCGAGCAATCCAGCACCCTCTTGGCGGTGGACGAGAATGGCTTGCTGCACGCCTTTACGATAGGCACTGTCCACATGGTCGTCCACAACTGCTCCTACTACTTCACCGGCGCCTCTCTGGAGGCCTTGCGACCCGCGGCACGGGATGAACTGCTGAATACCGGGAGCATTGTGTGGGAGGATCGCATGGGGCTTGAGACGGTGGCGGTGGCGCATATGATGCTGCCAGAGATGTACGTCGCCGTCGCAAGGAAACATTTTCAGTGCGACGGGGATGGTTATGCGGAGTACTTCTTTTTCAACGGCGTGCGGGAGGGGGCGACGACGGGAGGTGGCGTGGGGCACTGCAGCTCCAGACTGCGGCAGCCTCAGGGGGAGGAGGGGGTGCGGCTACGATCGCAAGACGCCGAGGAAACGGTATTGCTGCAATGCGACAAGCGCGGGCAGAAGAAACACCCACAGCGCCAAGAGGCAGAGGCAGAAGGAGAGGCCGTGAACCGCGGAACGAGTTCTACGACGACGCAGGCCGCTGTGGATGGCAGCTCCTCGGCGGGATCGGCTGGGGAGGGGGGCAAAATGGCTTCTCCGGGCGGCGAAGGGAGTGACGCTGTGGATGCCCCTGCCTCGCTTGAGAGTCTCCTCGATCTTCTCGTGGGCAACTCCTTTGCGTTTCTCGCGTTTGTCGGCCTGCGCGACTCCATTCGCCCCGACGTGGAGAACTCCATGTCGCTTCTAGACGAGGCCGGCATCCGCTGCATGTACTTCTCCGCGGAGAACGAGCGCCGCACGAAGAGTTTTGGCAATCGACTGGGGCTTGAGACGGACTGGAACTGCTGCATCTCACTGAAGACGGGTGCGGTGGAGCTGGACCCGCACAGTATTCGTGCGCAGCTGCCGGTTGGGATTGACGCCATCCGGAAGCACATCTTACACGTGGACCCGATTCCGCTTCAGGTGAAGATGTTTTCGCACGCCCACAGCGTCTCCACGCGGGCGATGCTTTCGATTCTGCAGGACAACCACGACGTGGTTGTCTCCATCGGCTCCCTCTTTAACCACGGGAACGTGCGCAGCTTCATCCAGTCCGATCTCTCGATTGGCGTGCTGCCGACACGGCGCGGCCCGGTGGCGGACAAGGAGGAGGCGTACCTGCGGCATCACCGCCGCATTGTGGAGCCCTCCAACTTCCACGCGCGGAAAACGTTTAACCGGGACCTCCCGCTCTACCACAACGTGACGGACCTGCTTGCCTGCCCCTGCACCCTCTCGGCCTCCCCCACGCCGTCTGTTTTGCCGATCGTCACAACCCTCATCCGGCAGGCGCGACTTCGTCTCAGTGGCATTGGCAACTGCGTGGAGTTCGTATTGCACGCCAACTTCTTCGTGACCCTCGTGAACGCGGTCGCCCTCCTGACGGGCTCCCCGTTGCTCATCAGCCCTACCGCCACCGTCTTTGAACTCAACGTCATCATCCCCATCCTCGCACTCGCGTGCACGTATACGGCGTCTGCGGATATTGAGCCCATGAAGACGATTCCCTCACGACATAATTATTTTGTGCGACTTGCCATCTTTCGCCACAGTGTGGTGGTGTGGTGCCTGCGCTACGTCCCCTCTTTGGTGGCGCTGCTGGTTCTCGGCATCACCTGCGGCACACGCATGTGCAACAGCAGTGTGGCGGGTTTGGCTCTGTCGGTATCCGATGCCTGCATGATCTCCACCCGAGGCTACATTGCGCTGACGATGAATTACTGGCTTATGATTCACAGCTGGACGCACCTCAGCCGCCACCACCCGCTCTCGCCAAACTTCTCCTTCAAGGCCCGCTACGGCAGGCGATCGAGCTACCTCTTCAAGTCCTTTCGTTGGGTCTTCGCGTGCGTCATGTCGACCGTGTTGAGTGTGATCTTTGTGGTAGTCAACACGGTGGGCGATGGGGTCGCGCTTTGGGCCTTTTACCCTTCGCTGGCGCATTTCCTGATCTCCCTCCTCTTCCCGATCCTGCTACTCTTGTTGGACGTGCCCATTAAGACGTGGCGGCTGCGGCGCTACACGCTGATGCAGAAGTTCCAGCGACTGTCGTTCGGCACACGGCTGGGGATGCACTCGCCGCGGGGCGATTACGAGCCGGAGGGGGTGACCTTCGCGAACGCCTCCGAGGAGGCTGTGCGGCATGAGGACCGCAACCCGACGCTGAAGCAGCGCCTGCACGACGTGTTTTACCGCTTCACCACGATGAAGCGAGGGGAGCTGGAGCTCAACTGCGTCTGCTGCGATCACATTGGGGGAAACTACGCGACGTACCACGTCAACGGGGCCGTGACGTGAGTTCGCGGGCTTCCCGCCACACCCCCGGGCGCTCTGCGGCGAGCGGTACGCGGGGCGCGCAACGCAAGGAGTCACGCCACCGCTGGTGGAGCACAATCGCCGGCGCGATGCGCACCCAGACGGCGCAAACGGCGTCGGGGAGCCGGGTACAATTCACGCACACCGTAGTTGGAGGCGGTGGAGAGAGGGAGCGAGCGGGCGAGTGTGTGTAGCGGCTGCACGTGTGTGTGAGAGAAGGAGCGTGCGGCGGTAAGACGTCTGTGTTTGAGTCTTTGCTTCCCAACATATTTTTTTTTTTACGGCGGCGCTGCGGCGGTGGCCGATAGAGACCGCACCGGCGCCGTGCGATCGCGAGAGGCGCGCGCCGTTGGAGTCCGCGGGGGGCCGGCACCCACCACCCCCCGCCTTTCGACGGAAACGAAACGGCTGTGGAGCGGCATGCAGAAAACAAAGAAGAA